CAATGCTGGGCCTTATATGGTTTGTCTGACTCTAGGCCCTAAATCACTGTCTTGTGTCTCCCTGCTTCTGAAAAGTGGACATAATAATCTACTGTGCTTTTTTCATTCCATTGCTGAGTGACAGACAGGAAACAACAGTGGTTGTTTCTTCCTTAGTTTCCCAAGGTCATGGCTTTTATGGTAGTAGGAACACGTTTCAGCAGAGGGAATACTATATGTTTCACCAGTAATTATTAAATTATTTACATTTTGGGGGTTTGAGCTTGGGGTTATGGGCTTGTGCAGGTGCTCTATCACTGGAGGCACATCTCTAATTGCAGTATTTATTTTTAAAAAATGATGTAAAGCTTTTTAGGACACAAGATCAAAATTGAGTTGTGCTAATTACAAAAATGTCTACAAAATAAGTCATTCATACTACTCAGACTTTCTAGGTAGATGCTCTAACATTTGAGCCACTCTCTCCCCATTTAACTGGTTATTTTTGGAGATAGGTCTTGTTTTATGTCCAGGCCAGCATGGACCATGATTCTCTTATTTGTGCTTCCCCAAATAGCTGCAATGACAGGCACCTGCTACTATGCCCAGTATTTGGTTGAGATGGGGCTGACCTTGAACCACTATGTTCCTGATCTCTTCCTCCCAAGTAACTAGGATTACAGGCTGGAGCCACCACACACAGCTAGTTAATCTATTGACGCACAAATGATTCTCGTCCATAGAGGGAGGACTTACCATAAAATTTAAAGATAATTTCCTCTACATTGCTGTCTTTTCGGGTAGTTGAATTTGAATTATGATATAATATCTGAAAATGTGATAAATGAAGACACCTTCCTCTATAGGTCATGACATTACAAGAGACCTGCAGTCGTCTGTCATTAAGAAAGTAGCTTCACTTGGAAAGTTTCCTATTATGCTGAGAGAAGGTTCTGTTAGGTGCATCTCAGACTATGAAACCTGGTTTTGACTGCCCACATTATATAGCTAGACCTTTCTCCCCATGTAGAACAAGAACAGTATTTGTTAGTGGAGGAACATTTGTCTCATTTAACTTCTTCTGAACATTCATTTCTAAGGAATTGTTCTCTGCTCTGCAACAGATTCCCTTTTCAGCAATCTTCTCTCTTGAAAAGGTTTGATAATCTCCTGTGTCTTCCTCTGAGGAGATGATGAGTCTCATGTTGATACTGATGGGAATTTGAAAGTTCTTGACAGTGTTGTGTGTTTTAACTCAGATCCTCAAAGAGGTTCTATTTTAAAATATACTATTCTTCTCACAAAACACATCCTACTGATTTTTCATTTATACCCAAGCCTTAGGATTTTGTGACAAGAATACAATTAATTTATTCATATGGAGGTGGAGGAAGAGGTTGAATTGTACTCAGTGTTAAGTGCTCTTGCCATTGTCAAAATACATTTTCTCTAAAAGAAACATATTTGGAATGTTTGACTGTCTCCCTTATAAAATTATAATTCCTGGAATAATGCTTCTTCAAATGTCAGGAGAGCATGTTTATATAACAAATGAACATTGCAAATATACTTGTTTGATTTCTTAATGAAATGATAGTTTTTCTTATAAAAAAATAAAGATGTCAACCATGAAGAAAATACTTCTTCATACATCTCTATCATTTTGAATTCTACAAAGGATATCCAACATAGTATTTCAATTCACCCCCTTGACTTTCATCGTGTACATTATGATCTTATTTCTGTTTTCAGGAGGGCTTTGTCATTTCCTGTGCTGCTTAATATTACTGATGAATTTTCTACTCTGTGCTTCCATCAAATGCAGTGCAAGTTCTATGTATGCAAATTTCTTATCTGTGGTGTGAGCACTGACACATGCTATTATCTCAAGCCTGCCCGAATCACACAAGGTGCCAATAAATATTTATTGAGGTAACTGAAGTTATGGCAACACAGTTTTCCTTTGCACCACTCTGAATCCTCTTTCTAGTTTGCCTGGCCCATTGTCTCTTTCTCAAATGTACTACCCACATGCATCAGAAATGGAACCAATCACATTTAGTAGACAAACTTGAATTCTTCTAAAAGTCCTGGCTGTGCTGTTCTTAGTTTTCTTCTTTCACTTACTGGGCCTCAGTGATCTCTGCTCATCTTCCATGGGGATTGTGTTGCTTACTTCAGAAGTTGGCTTTCTCCAACTTTTACCAGACTCCTGTTGGGGCTCTTTGTTATTCATTTTTAATGAGTTTAGGAACTTTCCTGGTTCACACACGTTCTCAGAGACGATCTCAGTCCCCTGCAGACACTGTCACTTCAATTACAGTGAAGAGATAATCACTTCCCACAAGAGGTGAGGTCATGGAGTCTAAACCTTTATCTCAGGATCAGATGCCCTCTGTGCAAGCCTGCATGGAGGCTGTCCCACACCCACTGCCCAGGAAACAAACCCACATGTTGTAAGTACTTTTTCATTCCAAATTTCTGTTACATTCTTTGACTTTATCTCTGGAAATTCAAGAATAATTTTTTAAAAATTATCCTTCTAGGGAAGGAATTTAAAAAAATTGCATATGATAGGTAGCTAGAAGTGATAGACTATAGATTGATCATAACAGACAGATGACAGATAAAAGATAAATGATTGTTAAATACATAGATGTAACTGATAGAAACTAAATCACTGCAGCTAGATGGTTGTGCAGAGGGATACATACTGTACCAAACCCATTGCTGTATCCTGCCCCAAGTGTACCAAAGTATATCTTGCCCCAATGCCTGATGTCACCTGTGTTCTTCCTATTAAATTCTCTCTCAATGTAAATATAACTGCACCTTACTAAACACCATGTTCTTTACAGTGTTCAAACTAAATGCTTCTGGACATAGCAAGCCAGGAGTACTGAGATTATGGTCTTTGGCTCCCACCACTGAGTACATCTATTCCCCACCATTCTTGTAAATACAAAATGAAAAAAATGAACATACACTTTGCAGAAAATCATGTGCACCCTCTACTCTGAGAGTATGGACTCTTCATGGAGCTCTTCCCTGTGTCTTCCCAGAACCCCAGAGCAGAGACTGAGTCATTGTTGCCTGTGAATTACAGGCAAGAGTTTCAGGGCTTGAGTGATCCATATTTCAGTAATGTCAACCTTGTCAATTTCCCTGGTTTATGCAAACTCTTAAAATCCACTTCAAATTCTATTCACATGTATTTTTGTTGTTTTGTTTCATATAGTGATTCCTCATGAAGATGATGAGTCTGGATGTTGCCTTTATTCCCTTATTTTGCTTAAAGTTGTAGCAATGGAACCTATTTTCATTTCACTAGTGATTTACTACTTTTCCTGTCATCTTTAAATAGTATAAAAAGTAAAGTTTTTACTATGGGTATCTTGAAGGAACCCACATAAGTATAAAATTAAATTGAGTGACCACACTGATCAAATACTTCCCTTTCCCTTACCAGGGAAGGAACACTGTTCACAAATAATAAGGATTCTTCCAGGCAGGATTTCATTTATTTACAAATGTCCTGTAAGATCTCTGAGAAGTCCTCTCTGATAGACCTAGAGTGAATTCCTACTGTGCACTCCTCTGTGTGAGGCCATTTGATGTCCACGGAGCACACACAATCATTGCCATGTACTAGCATGTCCCAGGCATGACTCCTGTCCCCCAGTTGATCTGTGTATTCACCATGATTCAGATTTCTTCCTTAAAACAGTAATGTCCTGAATTATACATTCATCATGATGAAAAGTGAGATTGCAAAGATGTGGGCATTCTTTTTTGTAATAAAAAATTAACTACTTTGGGGCCAGGTTGTGGTTCAGGTGTAGAGCACTTGTACAGCAAGCACAACTCCCAGAATTCAAACTTTCCTTCCCTCAACAGAAGTAGTGCATCCTTTATTAACCATTAATACAGATTATGGCCACTTTGCTGTCGATACATGCTAATAAATACTTTAACTTGATTACTAGGTATCAGACATGAGGTAACTGAACATATTTATACTTACAGAAAACTTTCTGCACAGCTTGTTTCTTAAGCTGTACCTTAGTTCACATTCAGTTATGAGAATATTCAGTCTATAAAACAGAGGCAATTTTAATTTTTATAAGGAACTGGAAGAATAATCTATTACTATTATCATAGAATATTTTGAAATATTTTTAAAGACTTTGATCTTAAAATTATCATTTATAAGATGATTCTGCTTGTAACAGAGTGGAAATATTTTCCTTTGGTGAATAATGATTGTTTTTGTTACCAAAGTAGATGGTTAAGAGTTACTTTTTAACTCTCTTAGTTTTTTTTAATTAAGAGAAATCAAATCTAGGAGTTTCCCCTAAATATTACAGAAATATTTTCCAAACCATTCCATATTATTGGATAAATTCAACTTCGTGAAGATTAAGAAATCCTGCTCTAGGAAAGATAGTGTTTAGAAGTAAAAACAAAAACTATAGACAGTGAAAAAATATTGGTGATACTTGTATCCAGAAATATTGAGAAATTTTAAAATAATAGGAAATCAATTAATTTTTTTAAATAGGCAAGAAACATGAAGAGACATTTCACTCAAGAAGACATATAGGTGACAAACACAAAATATGCTCAATACTGACTCATTAGGAAAATACAAATTAAGGCCACAATGAAATACTACTATGTACTCACTAGAATGCTAAAATGTCCCGACTTACAAAGGACAAGCTAAGATTCAAACTGGTAATATGATATATTCCAGGAGGAAATGTGAAACAAATAGTCATTTGGAATATAACTTATTGAATTCTCAGAAACTTAAACATTGTGGATCAACTTCCAGCATGAGAGGGTGAGTATTTATGGACCTGTCCTCCAGCAAAATTGGCGAAACTTATGAAAACACAATTGACCTTTGTGGAAATGGTCCTAAAGGTATTTAGCAAATGAAAAAATATTTATTCAGGAAAATATCAGTAAGAACAGAAACAGTAAGTGTCATTTGAACCAAGACCACCTCCTCCCCTTCTCCAAACTCAGTGAGATGGAAACTCCACTCCAGACAGGTGTAGACAAAACCGTGTGACTCCCTCTCCCTAGAGTACTCAGAAAGAGGTCACCTTCATGGGAGGATGGCAGCAATTCTCATCCTGTTCCCACGGTGCATGTCTGCGTGAGTGATATCCAAGTGCTGGCTCCTTCACATATGCTACTCTCAGGACTGTTTTAAAGCAAGTTCACTCTTAGGGCTGAAATTAGTTCACTGGCTGAAGCCTTTCTCCACATTCACTGCATTTATAAGGCCTCTCGAGGTTATGATGTTTCCATTACTGAGTCAGAGACAACTTCTGGATAAAGGCTTTTCCGCAATCACTTCATTCACAATACCTCTCAGCACTGAGACCTCTCCAGGGTACAAGAGGATGGAAGTGTGGCCATAGGCTTTTCCACATGTGAAGCATTCAAGACTTTTCTCCAGTGTGACCTTTCTAGTGTTGAATTAGGTTGAAATCCTGGCTAAAGGATTTCCCACAATTGTTGCACTCATAAGGCATTTCTCCAGTATGAATCCTCCGATGTTTAACAAGGCTGGAACTATGGCGAAAAAATTTCCCACATTCCCTGCACTCATAAGGCTTTGCTCCAGTGTGAACTCTCTGATGTTTAACGAGGCTGGAGTTCTCACTAAAGAATCTCCCACATTCATTGCACTTAAAAGGCTTTTCTCCAGTGTGAACTTTTCGGTGTTGCATGAGACTAGAGCTTTGGCTAAAAAACTTCCCACATTCACTGCACTCATAAGGCCTTTCTCCAGTGTGAACTCGCCAATGATTGATAAGGCTGGATTTGTGGCTATAGAATTTCCCACATTCGCTGCACTTATAAGGTTTTTCTCCAGTGTGAACTCTCTGATGTTTCATGAGGCTGGAGTTGAAGCTAAAGAATTTCCCACATTCTCCACACTCATAAGGCCTTACTCCAGTGTGGATCCTGTGATGCTGAACAAGTGTGGAATTATGCCTAAAAGCCTTTCCACAGTCACTGCATGTAAAAGGCTTTTCTCCAGTGTGAACTCTGTGGTGTTGGATGAGGTCGGCATTTCGGCTAAAGGATTTTCCACATTCACTACAACTGTAAGGCCTTTCTCCAGTGTGAACTATTTGGTGTATAAAGAGGTTTGATTTATGGCTAAACAGTTTCCCACATTCACTGCACTCATAAGGTTTTTCTCCAGTGTGCAGTCTCTGGTGCTGAACAAGTAAATATTTCTGCCCAAAGGCTTTCCCACATTCACTGCATTTGTAGTTCTTTTTTCCACTGTGAAAGGCTGCACTGAGCTCAGTGTTCCTGGGTGGCTCACCTCCACTGTGGCACTTGAGAAGACCTGAGCTGGCCAGGGAATCCTTCCTACCCTCCTTGTTTTGTAAAGGCTTCTCTGACAGGAAGATTCTGCAGCTCTTTAAAACTGAGGCCCTGCCCTCTTCTCTTTTTAAGGGTTTGTCTCCATGGCTCATTTTCTGGTTTTGGTGAAGGTTGACACAAAACACTCCTTCTGTAGAAACACTCTGCTCAAAAGGTGCCTCCTCAGCTTTGGCTCCATGCCAACACCCTGAACACAGAGAAATGCTGATGAAGTGCATGTAGACTTTTGTGTGAGACACACCCAGAAATGAATGCCTGACATTTCTGGAAGAATGATGGGGGTAGGAGAGAGTGTAAGGGTGTACTATTCAGTGCTGAACCTGGAAAGCTCACAGATCTTGGGAGCGACAACACAAGGAAGGGTGGAACACAGGGAGGAGTGGTAAGGTCCCCAACATAATCCTCTGCAAATGGCTTTCTGTGGGGCCTCAGCTGCTGGAGATGCAGAATACAGTGCAGAAGGCCATGTCCAGGTGTAGAAAAACCAACTGTAACTGAAGAACCTGTGTTCAAGGACTATTCAGGGATAAGTGAACACCTCATAACACAAATCAAGTAAAGCCACTGCTAGAGAGACTGTAAAGGAATGGAGGACAGATAGGTGGAGGCTTAGAAGTAATGGAAGTAATAAGTAACCAGCTGGGGAAGAAAAGATGGAAATCAGACATGGCTCCTTATCTTGGCACCAAGCCATCAGAACTATTAGAAAGATTCTTGATAAGAAGCCATCCTATGTTCATACCTCCTCCCAGCTCCACCCTCCAAGTACCTCTCAGCATGTCTGGAGTCATGACTCCTTGTGTAGACATGAAGGGTTCTCCCCAGGACTTCAGTTGAGTGATTTCACAGGACATAGCTGATGCAAGTCCTAAGGGAAAGACAGCATAGTGAACAGCCCACATAGGGCCAGAGAGACCCACCCTATGACAAGTGGGTATTAACAAAGTATATTGGAGGATTGTCTTAAAGGAACAACTTAGTCAAGTAGTGACCACATCAATGCCTCAATTCCTGGCACAGGCAGGAGATCCATTAGGCTAACTATAAGGCTTCTGGCTCCAAAGCCCTTTCATGTATAGCTTTGATCCAGGGACAGAAGGTGGTAGTTTACACACCCCAGGCCTATCACCTACAATACTTACTCCAGGACTCTGGGACTAGGAGCAGTGTCCATGGGCCGGTTTGGGGAAGGATACAGCTGAGGAAGAGCCGAGCCCAGTCCAGAATGCCGTGATGGGTGGAAAACCCTTACCCAAAGAGGCCAGGAGCACAAAGTTCTCCAGCATCACATTGTGATATAGGAATCTCTGAGAATCACTGAGAAGTTTCCACTCTTCCCTCGAAAAGTACACAGCCACATCCTCAAAGGTCACACAGCCCTGCCACAATGAAGAAAGTTGAGCTGATAGGTAGCTTCCTTACCAGGGACATTTGGCATCATTCCCCTCCCCCACAACCATTCCTTTTCATGCTCCTCCCAAGTCTCCAACCTCAAGAGGAGATACCAGGCCATGGTGCCAGTGATGCACATTCTCTCCTCAAGGTCCCACTAACCACTGTGCTTAGCACTTGGACACAATAGGCAGGGGGAAGCCTTTCCCTGCCAGATAATTTACCTGGGACCTTCCAGACCATGTTACCCAAATATGACCATATTCACCACTTTCCCTTACACCCCAGTACAAGGACTTTGAAGTCATCTATTGACATTCCCTCCTAAAATGCACATGACTGTCTGTACCACATCTCTCTTTACATCTGAGAAGAGCCAACTCCTAAAACTACAATCCCAAGCCTAACTTCTGCCACCCACTATTTCCACCAGATATAATGGAGACCTAAGGTTACCTGAACTCAATCTCACCTCCATGCATTTTCTAATTTGGCTCACTGTAACTTTAATATGTTCTGAATCTATGCCAATAGTTGCCATAAATGGGAACTTTAATCCCTGATCTGATTTCAGGGACCTGATATTGTGTGACCTCCTTCTATCGAACTCTAATGGAAGGCTGGGGGGAAGACCAAACAAAGAGTCCCAATGCACTACAGCAAAGAGTCCCAGGATTATAGTGTAATCCCAGAGACTATGTAAGTGGGAACCAAGGAGGATAAGACCTGGGGTACCCTCAACTTACCTCTGCATGGTCTGTGAGTGATTCTGCAGCCATAAGAACCTATGGAAAAGCAAGGCTGTAAGAAGTAGGCAATGATGTTGCCATCCCAAAGGATTGCCCAAGCGCTTCACACACCCTGGAGTCAGGTGTGCCTGGCTGCCTACCACCTGGGCTTCAGTCCTCAGTAATGTCTCTTACTAACTGTATTATGTTCTTGCACAAGTACTCAGCCTCCCTACACCTTAGTGTCAGCATATGTAACATAAGGATAAGAATGGCACCCACCCAAATGAGTATCAAATTCATTCCTGTGTGTTAAGTACTACATAGAAACCCTAATTGTGCACATAATTAGTCAACAGTTTTGGTGTAAATAAACTGATAGGTTTTGATAATGTGGGGTTTTTACACATACCTTTTAACTAAAAATGTGACATTTAAGACATGATTTTAATCAAACACTGAATATACATTTTCAACCATTTTTTTTTTGGTGGTGCCTGGGTTTGAACTGAGGGATTTGCCATTTGCTAGGCAGATATTCTACTATTTGAGCCACACCCAGGGTTGGTTGGATTTGGGTTGGGTTTTTTGCTCTGGTTATTTTGAAGATAGGGTCTCACTTTTTGCCCCAGCCAGCCTATTCTGTGATCCTCTATTTTAAGCTTCTCACTATTGCTGGGATGACAGGTGTGCACCATCATGCCCATTTCTTTCTGTTGAGATGGGGTCTTGCAAACTTTTTTTGCCCAGGCTGGCCTAGAACAGTGATATTCCCAATCTTAGCCTCCCAAGAAGCTAAGATTATAGGCATAAGCCACCATCTCATTTTCAGCCAAGAGACGGGGGCCCTCTCTTTCTCTCTTTCTCTCCTTCCCGGCCTCTCCCGGGCCATTACCTCCAGGAGGGGTTCCTCTCCCGCCTCGGGACGCACCTCCCTTCGTCCGTTCAGTGCGGGCGTCGCGCAGGGTGTCCTGTTCAATCCATGCCATTTTAATTGCCCCTGTGTATGTAGGAACCTTGATCAATTAGCATGTAAATAGGTACTTACTATGTAAGTTAAAAAGTTAATAAATAAAGGGCAGGGGCACGAGAAAACCAAGTAGCTGCCTGCCATACTCCTGCCATAAGCCTGCCATACTCCTGCCATACTCCTCCCACACTCCTGCCACACGCCTGCCATATGCCTGCCATACACGTGCCATACTCCTGCCACCAGAAGGCAATTCTGCTGGAGGGACCTTCTATTAGGGCAGGTGATCATCCCTCTTGCCAGTAAGGCTGAGGAATGTAGCACCAAAGAGGCTGCTCCATCAGCCTGGCTGGCCTTTCCTTTCATCCACAGAAAGTGTACACCATTGCCTGCTGAGCCTGGAGAGGCAAATCTATACCACCCAACACGTGGGTATCCATCGCAGTCTTGAGTCTGTCCACTCCTGCAGACACGAGCCAGAACCACTTCAGACCGCAGGACCCCACCCCTCTGAATGCACTTCCACCCTCCAGGCCCATCTGAAATAAAAACCTTAAGACTCTCCCTCCTAAACATCAGTCCCAGTCCTTGTCCTGGTCCAGGCCTCCACTAAATAATCCGTTAAGTTATTCACAACCCAGATCCCTCCCCAGAACTCCAGCTGGGAAGGAATAAACTGCCCATGTGACACACTCATTCGGGGACATCTCAGGATCACCATGTGCAAAACCCCAACCCTAATCTCCCTGAAATGTGCTCCCTGCACGAACTCCCCTACCTCCATCCTTCCAGATGTTCGGAAAATACTGAAAACACAAACGAATACTGAGATGGTCCTTTTTTTCTCTACCGTCTTTCTTAGCAGTCCGTCTGCCTTACTCTCCCACACCTCGGTACACACATGGCAGAAACAGGGGTCCCACCTATGAGGGCCCCACTACCCCGGACCCGGCCTTGGCGTGCGGGGACGCGAACAAATCCCTCACTTAGGTGTCCTATGGGACACCGAGCCTACCTGAGCCGAGTTCCTGAGCTCAGCCATCCCCGCTGGACTCTGCGGACAACGCGGTTCCTAATCGAGGCCTGGCGCGGGTTACCGCGGGCGGCATATCCGGTCTCCGGCCTCTCTCCGTGGGAAAGGACAAAGCTTTCCTCCTCTGGCGTCTTTCCGCTCTTGCCACCTCATCACAGAACCAACTTTCCTCTGCCCTAATGAACCCACTCATCAGCGGCGAAAATAAGCTCTGCCAGGTTACGACGGAAGTCCCGCCCACAGCCGCTTGTGCGCGCGAAATCATCCATTTTCATTGGTTAAGCGCTGTAGCCGCTCGGCCAAGCGCCTTCTGGGTAACGTAGTTCTAACAGCGTCAAACTCGGAGGAAGTGGGCATGGCTGCAGAGGCAGAGATGGAGGGGAATCTGAGTGAAGAACTTCTGTTGGATTCACACCGAGGCTGTCGGTTTTTGAAGATAGGCCCTTCAGTTCTCCTGAGAAGATACTACTCCAGTCTTTCCTTCTCTGAAGGACTTGAAATATATCTTCAGAACCACAAGAAAGTGGTTTCCGTGGGGCGAATCATATATACATCCCAAAATTTTCCTTGTCAAGGGATGCCCAGCATAAAAGACAACGGTGGTGAAGCAATGCCTGATGTAGAAGAATGAGAAAAGGTTCCAAATTTGGGATACAGGTTCTAAAAGAGATAGGGATTCCAACTGTTAACTTTCCTCCTTCACTTCACACTCATTTGGGCCCTTTGTCTTCTGAAGGACTATACAAGTTCCAGTCAGGCAGGGCAAGAGTCCTCAAATCCATAAGTGTTATGAGTATTATGTTTGGTTTGCATTAAGCATATTGAAAATTATATAAAAATATAATACACTGTAAAACTTATATGAAAATAATATTGTGTGCACTTGAAAGCCCTATGATGTAAACACATACCATATGGTGCCAGATATGCAAATCAGCTAACCCTAAGCTGGTGCCAATATGCAGATCAGCTAACTCTAAACTGGTGCAGATATGCAGATCAGCTAACCCTAAGCTGGCTCCGATAAACCGCTCCTTTACGAATATTTAAACTCCACTCACCAGGAAACCATCGCCATTTCCTCCCGACCGGCAACACCATCACACTGATCAAGAGTAAACCTGAACGAGGTGGACGGGACTCTCCGCTCGGCCTGTCAGATTCCCTGGGCGTCCTGGAGGCATATGGAGACTGAAAACTAGCCAGGACTGGTTTGGAGCCAGCTGCCGGTGGACTAAGTTCAAATCGCAAGGTGAGCACAGCTTGGGGAAGGCTGAGGCACTATCGGACGTTAAGTTGCCACTCCCTGCAATGTTGGCGACAATAAGCCAACATTCCTCCCTCCTCCACTCTCCCCCTGATTCTCTCCTTTATCACTTCCTACTTCATATTCTCATTGCCCTACTATTTCCAAATACAAAGCTAACTCCCTACAGGTAGGTAGGATGCTTCACTATTGCTAATAGAAGTTGGAAAACAGGTATCAACTCTTTATTATACGTTGTCCCACTAACACTGAATCTGTTTCTTTCCTGTCAATCTTTTTTTTTTTTTTCTTGGCAGTACAGGGGTTTGAACCCAGGCAAGTGCTCTACTACTTCACCCATGCCCCGCCCCCCACCCCTCATGATGATGTTATTTCCTTAATTTTCTCCTGTCCTTTTTATCTATAACTTGAGCAATATTCAACCTCATCATATCCTTGGGGTGAGTCATGAAGACAAGAGATGGTGAAGTGTTTATTCCTTCCTGGAACTAGTATTCAGTATAGAAAAGAGGAAGGGAGCCAGTATTGCAATTGATAACATGGTAGGATAGCAAAAGTCCTAAGTTTTTTGTTACTTTCACTGTGTCTTTGTGTTTTTTAATTCATCATTAGTTATTTCAATCAGGACACAGTGTGGCTTGTGTAAGGAAGGGGGGTAAGGAGCAGTGAGGGACTCAATGAAAGCAGTGGGACAGTGTGTGAAAAAAACTCCCTCTTTCTTAAGCCAAACACAGAAATAGGTGTCTGACTTCTTCAAAAACACCTCTTAGGAAAAAAATCTGTATTATTCACCTAATGTATTGTAGGTAAGTCTTGAAATTGAGGTGAATACCATGACATACACCTGTATAAATGAATCTAATAAGCATGTTACAAACTATGGAAAAATTCCCAAAGTGTAATAAGATCTATGAAAAATTCAGAATTTGGTGAAAATTCTTAGATGAAATACCATATCATCTAAGGAAACTGACATCGATGGTAAAATTAGAAAGACGTAACTATCAAATATCAAATGAGTCAAGCTCTTGGGAGTTTGCTAGGAATGTGAGAATAGATGCCAAGGAAACTGTTCTAACATGGTGGTTTTTAATCTAAAAAAAAAGAATTTGTATACCTCTTAAGAACACACTGAGGGTGTGATAGTTTTAAAGAAAAATGTTATGTAGTTTTATTTTGCCACAGGAATAAATAAATGGGTGGGCTTAACAACTAAAACAGATTCATGTATGTGTAGAATTGAAAATAGCATACTCAGTGATTACATTTAGTTTAGGTAAAATGATTATCAGTATAATAATTTCATTCAAAGCTCACTGAATTCACAAAATAAATTCCATGATGATATTTTTAAAGGAAGATGACAACAGCATATCCTGGGTCAATAAGTTTTCTCTATAACCTCCAGAATTCTCACCCCCACCCCGCCTTTTTCAAAGACAGGGTCTTGCTGTGTAGTGCAGGCTAACCTAAAATTCACAGTCCTCCGGCTCAGCCTCCCCAGTGCTAAGATTACAGGCCTATGACACCACACTTCAGATTCTGGAGTCTATTTCTATTTTCAGCCATTAGGAATATTTCCATGTCTGTAAGAAGTAGGAACATCATAGTTTAAATTATAGATCCCTCTCCATGACCAGAGTCCAGGGCCGTTGGGCTCTGGAAGGTGGGCTGGAGGCCACAATTCCTAACTCACCAAGAGGGTCAATGAAGCAGACGATCCCAGGTCCTAGGCACAGGCCCACCCTCAATACACAAGCTTCTATAGGACTAGAGAGAAAGGTGATTGCTGCAACTAACCAACCAGATTGTGCCAATTTACTGCAGGCCCTCCCAAGATTAAAGCTTAACAGAATGGGTCATCTCCCAACAGTGGTGGAAACTCTGGGCTTCCACTGGATATGCCATTTGGTGCATAGACACTTGAAATCAGGACTTGTCAGCTAAGAAAGCCTGGGCTCACTTTCCATAAAAACTACACTTAGAAGAAAAACTGTGTAGGGCTGTAATGCCAGCACCTTGAGAAATAGAATTGTTTATACAGGAAGGGACAGTCCCTGATGTTTCAGAGAGCCAGTTTTTAAAAATCCCTGTTCCAGTTTCCATCTCATGGCTGTGTCTGGAGTATTTTCCATTTTGTGCCTGACCCAAAAGGCTCAGAAAACTAGATGTAGAGCCTCAGGATAAATGTATCTAGAAACAGCACATTATTAGCTTCCAGCTCTATGTCTGAGTGACATTAGTGTGGGGTGTGCCCATATTTTTTGTGAGTATTCTCTGCATAAGGAAGCCTGAAAAAATGGCTCTAAATATTTCTGATATAAGTTACAGACTACAGTCAGAAATACAGCTGCAGCTCCTTTCAGAGAAAATTGAGCTCTGCCTAGTCCATAGAGTCTCCAGAAGCCAATTCCAGGCATCTTTAGCGGTGAGGTTGGACCTTTACTTTGAAGGTTATATGCATCACCACTCAACAGCATTGGTTTCCTGGGAACTGCATTACCCAGGACCCTCAGCCGCTATTAGCCAATCAAGACCGAGGAAAGGGCGTTTCCGTTCGTGCGGAAGACGTTAGGGCGGGACTTCCTGTTCCCTTCCCGGGCGGCCATTTTGTTTACTTTTGGATTAATAAATTAGTGTGTCTCGAGTGCAATGTCAAACCCATAGTGACAGAAAAAGAAAAACGTGATAGGAGGTGTTGTCTTCCCTAAACAGAGGTGAGCCTGAGGCTCCGCAGTGACGCCGCTCCACTGACCGGCCGTTGGGCTCTGGAAGGTGGAATCCCCCGGTTGCCGCACTTGTCACTCTCCTTTTTTGATCCATAGGCCGGATGGCGGCGATCACGCTGAAGGAGCCGACGCAGGTGGGTTTGTCCCCCGTCCTACCCCACCCTCAAACTTGCATCCTAAAGCCTCGAATGAGAGGTTCCCCGGTTACTGCAGCCCGGACTCCTAGGTTAGGTTAGTGACACCGCTCGTGGTTGAGTCCCATTTCTGACTGCCGGACCATGTTGTGGAAGGGCGTTACAGGTACAGGGACCAGCAGGTGCACAGGCTTGGATGGATCAGAGTGAGGAGCAATCACACCTGGACTGTCAGCCTGAGCAGCTGGGCCTCTATTTTGAGGGTCATGGGAGCCAGGGAAGGTTCTGGACAGAAGAGGGACACATCTGAAGGTTTAAAAGTATTCCATAGACTGCTCAGGGGATTCTAGCTTTCTGGAGATGGGAGAGGTGAGGAGTAAAGTGAAGCACAATAAAATTGAGAGCTAGTCTCATTTGTTACCTGAAGACTGAGGTACAGTCAACCTCACAGGTCACTTTGTAGCAGGGGCAGAAATAGGGGATAGACCAGCGTCCTAGGGTTTTCTTCCTGGTTTCTTGCCTCTCACAGCCTTCCCTCTCCCCACAGGTTTCTATGAACTTGGAAACAATCATGGACCCTAAACAGGTGAGGGGAGCATGTCCATGCTGTCATCTAGCCCATCCTTACCCATGTGGTCTCCAGGATTGTGGTGTCATATAGAACACTTTCTTCCTACTCTCTGATTTCTTGGACCTGAGGACCTTGGACAAACCCCAAGCCCAAAGTCCTGAATCCAGCATAGGGTTTATGTAGAGGTGTGCTCATTTCTTGCAACATTGGAATAAAGTTGGAAGGTTCTAGGTTCATGAGCCAGCATGTTCAAATAGTTGACTTGAGACGGAGAGGGAAGTTTCCAAGAAACTGCAGGACTCTATCATGTCTGGTAAGAACCAAGGGCAGGGAGACAGAGTTGAGCCTGAAACAGCTGGCAGAAGAGGTTTGCCTCTATTCTACAGGTGGTAGGAAGTGTGGAGGAGAGAATGGAAGTGATCTGACCTAGGTTTTAACAGCCACCTTCTAGATGCCAGATGGAAAACTAACTGGGTGTGATAAGGTTATGGTGAGTTATGGTGGAGGCAAGGAAACAAAAGAGGCTATTACATTAATTCCAAGTGAGTGGGAGTAATGCATTGGCCATTACTGTATAGATTGGAGAAGTAACTATATAGATTGGAGAAGTGATTGGATTGGAATTTCTGATTCGAGAAAAGCAGGTAACTCAAAGATCTTTGGCCTTATCAACTAGAAGTGTAGAAACTCCATAATCTGAGGTGGACAGATCAGTGTTAGAAGTATCATTCAAGGGAGATATCAAGAGTTTATTTGTGGCCATGTGAAGAGTCTGATATGTTCCAGAGAACACTGAGTGGAGGTATCAAGTGTCCTGCTGTGCACAAAGGACTAGAATTCTAAAAATGAGTTCAGGATGGTGATATCCAAAACATAGAAGATGTTGTGTAGATTGAGGTTTTGGAAGGAGAATCTTCACCTCACAGTGGTAGTGCAATTAGTGAGGTAGGAAGGTAATGATGGAAACCATCAACAGGGTAGAGGACCAGAGTTGGGACACTGGTGTGATCCAAATAATGATATACATGTGTACAGGAATGTGGACGTACAACCCCTGGGCCTTATTACCCAGCTTAAGGGACAAAGGTGAGCAGAACTTTTGTTGTCTGGTCAGCATGATTTTAGCAACCAGTGGAGTAAGGGCAGAAGGGTGGAGCCCTATATGCCAAGCTCAGAGCTTAAATAATGCCTTTTTGCCCATATGCCTATCATTTCTGTTGATAGGCATAATGATTAATAGGGCCATTAGGAGAGAGCTAATACCAGTGGCACCTAGTCCCGGTATTTCTTATGAGTTGAAGAGTTAGGTAGGAAGGTGTGCATGAGGTACATATGTGGGGACATGGATGGGATTATTAGGAGAGAGGCTGCTCATGGATTTGACTCTCTCCATTGTGGCAGGGACAGGTGAACTTTGAGGATGTGTACGTGTACTTCTCCCAGGAGGAATGGGAACTCCTTGATGAGACTCAGAGGATCCTGTACTGTGATGTGATGCTGGAGAACTTTGCACTTATGGCCTCATTGGGTAAGGCCATCATACCCCACCCAGTGTCCTGGACTGGGTTTTTCTCTTTCCCTTTTTCTCAGGGCAGCCATATCCTTCCTACAACAGAGCCATGGTCACTACCAACTTCCATAGTTCCCCTGAAATAGATGTTGTGGATGCTGGGCCTAGGATGTATGCACTTCTGCCTCCTGCTGTCCCAAAAGCTTGCAGGAATGGATAAAGGAGTCTAGTGTTCTGGCCCTGCATTCAGCCCAGTGGGTCATATCCTTCTTTTCCTCTCCTTGACAGGATGCCTCTGTCTATATCCATGAAACTCTGAGCCCCAGATTCTGCTTCCTTTCTTTAGCCCTTATTTCCTGTGGCTGACCTATCCCCCTGACTTCCAGTGACCATATGTCACTTGTTGACACTACTGTGAGGTTATTTTTATGATACTTAATTTTTGTCTCTGTAAGATGGGTCACATAGACCAGTCTTGGCTATTTACTTGTCCTGTCTTCCCTTTAGGACATACATCTTCCATGTTCCATGTAGTTGATTCATTGGAGCTGGGCATTAAGCCGTGGGTACCTGACTGGATGGAGATGTCTCAAGCCATTTCCAGGGAGACTTTATGTGGGTGTGGTCCTCATGAGAGGAAGCAAAGGGTGTCAGGGATGAGTTCAAATCATTCCATAACCTCTGTGCCCACAGTTGTTTTAGTACCAGCGTCACTGACCACACTTCATTTCTGTCTACTTTTCCATTTACACAATTATCTTTTGTGCTCTGACCTTTGGCCTCTGGTATTCTGTGTCTTTACCTCCACATTTCAGCTGTTTCTCTCCATTGCTCCTTTTCTACCATTGCCCTATACACAATGTATTGTCATATGTGTGCATACCCCAGGCAATCCTTAAACACTAACTACACAGTAGCAATTTGATTTTCTTGAGCACAAACAAGTCCCAATCTCCCAAGAGCAGCCTCCTCTTATCTATGATCTTAGTTGTGTTAGGCACACGTTGGTAATGAGGCTGCCCCCTCCCACCTGACTAGCATTTCTCTGCTTTCAGGTTGTTGTCATGGAGTGGAGGATGAAGAAACACTTTGTATGAACAGCATTTCTGTAGATGTGTCAGAGATCAGGCCTGCAAAGGGAGGCCCCTCTACCCAAAAGGCCCACCCTTGTGGCCCAATCTTAAAAGACATTTTACACTTGGCTGAGCCCCAGGAAACTCATCCTGGGCAGAAACCATACATGTATACAGCATGTGGGAAGCAGCTGTGGATCAGTATAAACTTTCACCAGCCCCAGAAGCAGCACAATGAAGAGAAACCTTTTAGAGGAGATGAGGGCAGGATGTTTCTTATGAACGGCTGTCCTGTCCAACCCTCAGAGATGCCTTTTGCAACAGAGGAGAATTGTAAGGACTTCATGAGTAGCTCGACCATTTTTCAGCATCATTTGCCTCACTGTGAGTGGGATACACATGGTAGCACTAAGCATGAAGAGGCCTTTCACAGTGGACAAAAACATTACAAGTGCAGTGAGTGTGGGAAGGCCTTCAGTCGCAAAGACTCACTTGTTCAGCACCAGAGAGTCCACACTGGAGAAAGGCCTTATGAGTGCAGTGAATGTGGGAAATCCTTTAGCCGCAAACCCATACTTGCTCAACACCAGAGAATTCATACTGGAGAAATGCCTTATGAATGCGGCATATGTGGGAAGGTTTTTAATCACAGCTCCAACCTTATTGTACACCAGAGAGTACACACTGGAGCAAGGCCTTATAAATGCAGTGAGTGTGGGAAAGCCTATAGCCACAAATCTACACTTATTCAGCATGAGAGTGTACACTCTGGAGAAAGGCCTTATGAGTGCAGTGAATGTGGGAAATACTTTGGTCACAAATACAGACTTATTAAACATTGGAGTGTTCACACTGGAGCAAAGCCTTATGAGTGCATATTGTGTGGGAAGTTCTTTAGTCAAAGCTCTGATCTTATTGCACACCAAAGAGTTCATAATGGAGAGAAACCATTTATATGTAGTGTATGTGGAAAAGCTTTTAGCCACAAACACGTACTTGTTCAGCACCACAGAATTCACACTGGAGAAAGGCCTTATAAGTGCAGTGAATGTGGGAAGGCCTTCAGGCAAAGGGCTTCCCTCATCCGGCATTGGAAAGTTCACACTGGAGAAAGGCCTTAGGTTATCAGGGACTGTGGCATCTCCTTGTTTACCATAACAATTAACTCTAGAGAAAAACAATATTTTGTGTGTAGCTATCAGCCAGAAGTTGGACCTCAAACATCCACCATGGGAAAATTCTGACTGCCAGCTATGTGGAATGTGGGAGCTGTGATGCATTTTCTAATCTGCCCAGGACTCTTGCTAGAATTGTGTCAGTGGCAGTGCCCCTGACAAGCCTCCTTTCTTTGCACTGGCAGAACTCTGCATTGTGCACCCCAGTGTGCCTTGAAAGGCACACCTCCATACTCCTGTCTTTCTTGGAGGGAATCATTCGTAGCCTGAGCCCCTTGAGAACTCTTGAGAACTCTCACATTCCCCCCTCCACCCCAGGCTCATTTAACTGGACATGACTCAGTTTCGCCAGGAGGACTCAGCTGGCTGCTTGCCCAGCTTCCATTCTGTGTGGACATTTTTGATCTCATGATGGACTTGTCCAGCTCAGAAACACCTAAGCTGAAGTTGCTATCTCATATTCTGGTTTTGCAGCAAATGACTTGTTTTTTAGACTACCTTTAATCCTTGGGTTTCTGTTCATTTTATGGATTGTGAACAGAAGCCAGCTCTGCCAGCACAAACAGATAAACAGTTTTTGTAAGAGCTGTAATTGTGCATGTCTTGAAGATACTAGTGGGATTGCAAAGCATTGCTCTCTTTCAAGCATTATCATAACTTGCACTGATGCTTTCACCTCTCCTAGGAAATAATACAGATCTTGGTGGCCTCCATCTTGTCCATATGCCAAAATAGGTTGTGTGACCAAGGTCACCCTGGGCAGTGGGAGTTTGTTGTGCCAATCTGTAGTGTGTTCAGGAGCAACTTAAATTCGGTCTCTGTTCCCAGAGGATATTTCATATTCTCCAGCTGTTTGAGGAGATCTTGATCCCCTGGCACCTGAAGTCTGTCATTTGGTAGGCTGATATCACTGGTGTCCTTTAAAACGGCAAGCTATGAATCATAACTGATACAAGGCTGCTGATTAATAGGAACTTGGGAGACTGCATCAGACCATAAGGAACATGACCCTTCCAAAAATGCATCCACAGTAACCAGGCCCAGTGATGTGTGCCTGCAGTCCCAGGTACTGGAGAGGCTGAGGCGGACTAAGCCAAGCAACATAGCAAGACCCCATCTCAAAAAATAAAAGTGTATTTAAAAAGTATATCCACATATTTTTTCATCACTGTGGCTTTGCTATGAGGGTTTGTAGAAATTCACTGGAACCCCATACTTGTGTCTCTCACGACTAAGTTTGGTGTCTGGTGTCAATTTAAATATTTTCTGCAACAAACTACACACACTTGTACCATTTCATGAGTTTTGATACACCTTTGCATCTGTGAAGTCAAAAGTTTCCTGATTCCCTTTGTAATCTCTTCTGCCTCCTAACCCCAGGCAACCCCTGATCTTCTGTTATGGTAGGTTTGTTTACATTTTCTACAATTTTATTGGAATAATACAACATTTACTCATGTGGATCTGGTTTGTGTATATTTTTTTCTGATTCATCCATATTGTACTGTGTGTCAGTAGTTCATTAGTACTTCTACTGAGGATGTTCCATCATGAAGAAATAGTTCCAAAGCATGTGCTCTGGAGAGAACTTACATACGAACCACTCTGCAGGTCAGAGGGGAACCACAGCATGAGTGTCCATTGTGTGTGCCAAGGCCACACAGACTGGGGCACTGATAATACTGCATTTATGGGTCATTTGCTTCTAGTTAGCAGCATATAGCACTGTGCTTCACAAATCCAAACACCATACCACCTTAGGAGGTTTAACTGAAAGAGTGCTCATGTTTGACACAGTCCTTGTCAAACAAGTCTATGGACCTTGTCTCGTGCCCTATCCATCTAATTATATAAGAGTTGATGAAGCCCAACAAGGAGGGGATCATTTATTGGGGTCAATAAATGATAGAGGCAACAAAGGGTACACAAAAACCCCCTCTTGAAAGCACACATAAGAACACAAATAACACCATTACCCGGTAAGTTCTTTCAGACCCTAGAAGGTCTGTTGCACAGAATATGGATGGAGTCCATGGACCTCATGGTGAACAAACAGGTCTCACTACCCTCGACTAGGAATTATTCCTCATTGAGTTGCCATCCTCACACCAGAGAGCACCACTTGGGTAAAGTATGCCTTCTTCTAGAAGGCCCATTAGGATATCCTTGCCCACTTCTCCCGACTGTCTGCTGCCCATGGTGTCACCTGTGACATGGAATACACAGCCTATGTGTCTTGCTTGTCATCAGCCTGTCACAGTGCAGTCCTTCATCTTTATGTACACCAGTCACCTTCAGCAGCTACTCATGATCCTTGTCAGAGGACATGGAAAATTCAAACAACAGCATGCAAGTACCTGTAATTGCATCATATGAGAAGCTATACTACAGAAATCTAAGCCTGAGATGAAACCACAGAGGACAGATCATTATCCTGAAGAAATGTCACCCCCTTTCATGAACTCAGTGCTCTCTACTCTACTTCTGCAAGCATTGTTGTAAGAGACTCACCCTTCAGGTATAATGCAGCCTGGGAAGAGTACCTCCAGAATCCCTGGAAACACAAAGGAAGCAGAGGACATACTGATGGAGTGTGATGAGTTTAACAAAGTATACACTCAAAGCACCCATTTGGAAGCACACAAAAGACCACATATGGGAGGAAAAAACAAGTTAGTGTACCTGGGAAGGATGTACATGGTAGTTTGTTTGGTCTGATTAACAAGATATTTCTGCACACATACTGGCATCAAAACCTTTCCAGTATCTAGACTGTCACCACAGTCATTCTGGCCATCTTTCCCTATACCAAGAAATGCCATGTGCTAGTCTGAATCCTTCCCTCTTCAACCTCAGCCCAACTCTCCACTCCTCCTGACACTTTCCCCCATTACCTAACCTATTTTTTTACATGTACATTTTAACTTTGATTCACCTCCTGTGAATCTCTAAATTTACATCACTCAAAACTTCCACATGACCAGTAGTCTGTATATTCAGCAATCTCCTTATCACAGATCAAACCTAAAGAGTGATTAATGTCACAGTGTACCCCCATTATAACTATAATATGCTAATAAATAAATAAATAAAATTAGCTTCCACAGAAATAAAAATAAAATGCCAGAAATAAGAACACCAAAACATAACTCCATTTATATTTTCTCCTAAATAATGGGTATAGTTTTATTTACACTTGGAATTTAGATGCAAAAACATGACCATTATTTATATTTCATCTGGTAGACAGTAATATAAAAATAATCCACCCTAAGAGAATGTTTTCTGAAAATAAATATGACAGTACAAGTGCATGAGTGTGTTTTTTTTTAATGAAAAATCAAGAAATAAAAGTAAATGTGATGGTTTAGGAGTGAAATGATTTCAAATCTCAAATTTCTGTATAAAAATAAGCAAACATTGGCATTTTAGAACACAGTGTATAATTACAGAGCTTGCACAGATAAACATTTACATAAATCCTTAGATTTCATATGGTAAGAGATCACATGACAATAGTTAAAATAATGATGTCTCCATTTTCTAGAGAGAAATATACCCTTAGAAACTACTTACATATATTATTATTTACATTTTTCCAAGTTTTTTACCTAAGTGAAACTAGGTAATAAAACATTTTGCAAATAACTTAGATATTTTAGTTTGCTCATTCAAAATTCATAATCTGTTTTCTGTGAAGATTAACATTACATATTTTCATTGAAGCCATCATAAAGATTTAAGGTTTCTTCATTAAAGCACATAATTTTGGTTTATATTTTACAAATAACTTATATAGAGTACACTGATACTTTTTTCCAATGAATGATCCTTGCCTTTAATTTTTGGTAAATAGGAGGTGAGGTGTATAGTGCTGCATTGGGTGATAACCCAGCATGCTAAACATATACATTTCCAGCACAATATCTTTCTGCTCTCTCCATAAGTCTCAAGATGTCCCTCACTCCTATGAGGCTCCGTTTATGTATCTTGAATAAGGCCTTTCCAGGTGACTTAGCCTATGCAAGAAATGCCTGAATGAAGCTGGCAGAAATATTTGTAAAGATGTGAAAATTCCTCAGAACACAGTATTTTGGTTCCCATATATTTGAATACTCTAAACTCAGAATGTCCCTGCATTGAACCATTTGAAATTTCCAAAGTTGCTTTGAACTAGTAACAGATGGATAGAGTGCTCATTGTGTAAAGTATATATGATGCTCATCTTTAATCCTATTCTGAGTTCTGTGTTGACAGACATTATTGCTCACATTTAAAACAGCATCATGCCAAAAATCGTATGTTCTCCCTCATATATGGACATTAGATCAAGGGCAAACACAACAAGGGGATTGGACTATGAGCACATGATAAAAGCGAGAGCACACAAGGGAGGGGTGAGGATAGGTAAGACACCTAAAAAACTAGCTAGCATTTGTTGCCCTTAACGCAGAGAAACTAAAGCAGATACCTTAAAGCAACTGAGGCCAATAGGAAAAGGGGACCAGGAACTAGAGAAAAGGTTAGATCAAAAAGAATTAACCTAGAAGGTAACACCCACACACAGGAAATCAATGTGAGTCAATGCCCTGTATAGCTATCCTTATCTCAACCAGCAAAACCCCTTGTTCCTTCCTATTATTGCTTATACTCTCTCTACAACAAAATTAGAGATAAGGGCAAAATAGTTTCTGCTGGGTATTGAGGGGGGGAGAGGGAGGGGGCGGAGTGGGTGGTAAGGGAGGGGGTGGGGGCAGGGGGGAGAAATGAACCAAGCCTTGTATGCACACATGAATAATAAAAGAAAAATGAAAAAAAAAAATAAAATAAAACAGCATCATGATTTTTGAGCACTTAATAGAACATGAGCTTTAAAAAAAGTTGACATAAAAAACCTGAATCCAAGCAAACAACAGACCAATGGCATAGGAACCATTATTATGAAAACCAATTCTCCTTCACCCTGCAGACAAAGCATATTGGAGAGACATGGGTGTCATGGATGATGAGCAACAAGAGGCTGAGTGCAGGAAAACACAAGGACACAAGCACAGAGGTGTTCACTGTCCACTGGCCTGGGTTTGCAACTAGAGTCGTCCAGACAGTCAAGAGAATATACACTGAGTAGAAGGTAAAAAATGAACTCACCAAGATCATGATGGTGCATGTGGCTCTGGCCTCATGGAAACATCTGGAGGAGAGGCTGTGACAGTGGAAGTGTTGGACTTGCTGCTTATGTCTGTGCAGGACAAGGACCATGTAGCCCAAACACACAAAATCAAGGGAAAAATATAGGATTGCATATAATGGGCTAAATATCCCTTGCATTTGCCAAGAACAGTCTTCCTGATTATTTTTCCCAGTGTAGTTCTGGTTACTCACTGGACCACTCATAATTCTAAGAAGACATGAACTTAAAAAGATATGTGGGATCCAGCACAGGAAGCAACAGAAGCCGATGAACTTGAGGGATCTAAACTTGAGTGCCATCCACCTGCACATGCTGGAGTCAATCTTGATGGCCTGGAATCCATTCAGCAGACAGATAGTGCTCAAGGAAACTCCGGTGCCCAGTCTGTAATTATAAAAGACAAGTTTGCATCCAATATCACCCAGAAAGTATTTCATTCTACAAGCAGACATAGTCTGTGGTATCCTCTTGAAGAAAAGAACCAAAGAATTGGCTAAGGCCAGTTGGTTGAGAATCAAGTCTGTGGGTCTCAACTTGTGTCCAATGAATAAGGTGAAGTTACACAAAAAAAGGAGAAAGGAATTCCCCAAGATTACAACTATAGTCTGAGTGAGGAAGATAAACCCCATTTCCAACTTTCCAGAAGCCATTCCATCAATATCTAGGAAGTGTTCACTTCAGTTGAAGTTGGCGAAATCACTAGAGGGAAATAACTATAAAAATGTCTTCGTCACTAGAGACATAGCTTGTCCTGTTTAGCCTAAATAGAGTTTCTCCATTAAAGCAAGAATTAATGCTTTCTGCTCATTTGTGCAAAGGCAATTCATGGAAATCTCCATTGGAAATGAGCCAATGTCCATGTGCAGGGAATGAGGTCCACGAATGAGGCTGCACTGCAGTACAGATAGGCACCACTGTAGAGGTGAGTGGAAGAGTTTGTGTCTGAATTCAGTGGGATTTCCATTCATTCTATGTTGGAAGACATAGATTAAGTTCATGTTGAGTAACATATTGAAAAACACTAGAATATGGAGAAAGTGTTAGGCATGTGTGTGTGTGTATCATCCACAAGAATTTCTAGATGAATGAAGAAAAGTGCATACTTTGGAACCACAGTGGAGAAATAACACTGACAGTGCTTTACTCAAGCACAATTCTGACAGAGGGCCTACTTTTTAAGTTTGAGTTA